TAAAAAGGGGTCACCAAGTCGGATACCTGCACTATAATAACATTTGTTTGGTGATTGTAAGAAGTTTCAAGATTGAAGTAATAGATGAATAATCAACATACAACTGACCCATGTATCATGAAAGCGTTATTTAGTGAGAATTTACTTGTCATATCATCACTCAAGCCTCTTACATGTTCTCCCTTACCTAATTAAAGACAAGAAAACTAACCCAAGCTAACGAAGTCAGTACATACAAATATCAAAGCAAAGTCGCATAAAAGTATGGTAGTCAAAGCGGATAATGAACAAAACATGATATAGTATGTTACTGAGTAATTGAAAATTTATAATATTTAAAAAGTTTGTGCTTTGAACTAACATAAACCCTTCCAGTTTCTACTTGGGCAGCCAAAGCGAAAGGAGAGAACAAATAAAACACCTCTAACTGATATGATGATGAACATCTTCGAAATAAGTAATCAGTAAGCAGCAGCTAAACTGAAGGGCAAAATAAGTTAAAGACACCAATTTTAGAACAGAAATTGTAATAATGAAATTCTGGATGATAAGTTTCCAATTGCAGTGAGTAAAGAAAATTTAGCCACTAAGGACCATGATGTGGCCAAAAAGCAGGAGTGAACCCTATATGGAAGTGTCTCACTGATCTACATATTCTTCAATGAGTAAAAACAGTGTCATTTCGTCTAGGAGGTCTGTCTGGAATTGTTCCTGGCTTGAATTTTGAAGCCTCATGTTTTGCCAATTCAGGAGGCACTGGACTGTTACTCTGGATAAGCATCTGCTTGAGATCATAAAAGACATCAGTATCATGAAAAGTCAAGAAAGTGGTAGCCACACCAGTCTTTCCAGCACGGCCTGTTCGTCCAATACGATGAGTGTACATTTCAATGTTCCCAGGCATATCGTAATTGATAACATGAGCCACATCAGGTATATCAATCCCACGCCCTGCAACGTCAGTTGCAACAAGGACATTGTATCTCTTGGTCCTAAAACCTTCAAGGCTAATTTCTCTCTGCTCCTGAGACTTCCCACCATGCAAAGTAGTGACACGATAGCCTGCCTTATCCAGATTCTTGGCAACTGTATCTGCATTCTTCTTGGTGTTAACAAAGACAATTGCTGTCTTATCTGAAAGATCATCAAGCAATCTCTGCAACCTGGAAAATTTCTCTGTTTCCTTCATCATCATCACATGCTGAGATATCAATTCAGTAGCCTTTCCAGCAGTGCCAATCGTAACCACCACAGGATTCCTCAAGTATTTCCTCGCAAGCCGCTCCACAGCAGGAGGCATAGTAGCACTAAACATATAAGTAGTTCTATAAATCTTTTTCTCATCAAGCTCCTCATCTTCATTCTCTGGTTTCAAATTACTCGAAGGCATTGCATCCAACACACCCACAACCTGGGGCTCAAAACCCATATCAATCATCCTATCAGCCTCATCAAGTACCACATAGTTACACTGATTCAAAACTGCATATCGCCTCTCCAAACAATCAATCAAACGACCTGGCGTCGCAATCACAACCTCACACCCTTGCCTAATCCTAAACCCTTGTTCCTCAATAGACTGCCCACCAACAATCGAAACCACCTTAATCCCCAAATAATGGGCAAACTTAACCGTCTCGTCCTCAATCTGCTGCGCAAGCTCACGAGTAGGAGCCATCACAACAGCATAAGGCCCCTCAGCCTCATTCTCTTCACTAATAGGTGGTAATCTAGATATATAAGTCAACATAGGCAATACAAAAGCAGCAGTCTTACCAGAACCAGTCTCTGCAATGCCAATAACATCCCTTTGCTGCAAACCAAGCGGAATCGCTGCCATTTGAATCGGTGAAGGTGACTTATACCCAGCTCTCTCCACAGCTTTTAACAACTCAGGAGTCAATTTACTCTCAACCCAGTTCCTCATTGGCCTAGGAATCTTTGAACCTTTATAAGATATATTAAAATCTTCCCTAAAAATTCTCCAATCTCTCTCAGTCATTTCATCAAGCATCTTCTCCGACCAATGTCGATCAACTCTCATATCAAAAGTATCATACATATCAGCAGCTTCTTCCTTCAGCCTCTGCGCCGCCGCCTCCTCCGGCCTCTCCTCAACCCCCTCCTTCTTCCTAATCTCATCTCTCATCTCCTTCTCGTTCTTCGCCGCCAACTTCTTCTGCTCTCTCCGATCCATCCCCGCTCGAAATCCTCGCCCAAACAAAAGCTGAGCTTCGTGAGGGTTTTGATACAAAATATTCATATCCCTTGAAGTATCTTCAGTATTCTCCCAATCAAACGAAAACCTAAACTTCTCACTCGGCTTTATAACTCTCTTCTTAGGCTTCTTCGATCCCAAATACTGCTGCTTAATCGCCTCCAATTCCTTCTCCCTTTCACGCTCATTCGTCTTCTCCATTCTCGCACGCTCCCTCGCTTTCGCCTCTTCTTCACGCTCGCGATCACGCTCCCGTTCCCGTTCCCGTTCCCGTTCCCGCTCCCGATCGCGCCGGTGACGGTCCCGGTCGCGAGAATCGCGGGAATCGGAGGTGGGTCTGGTGGAGTTTTGTGCCTGAGCAAGAAGCTGTTCTTGGCGGCGTTTTTGTTGGGCAATCTCTTCTTGACGGCGTTTGAGGGCGAGTTCTTCGCGCTGGGCTTTGGTCAAGAAGACGGGTTTGGCGGCAGTGGGGGCGGCTGTAGAGGCGTCGTCGAAGGGGCGTTTCATGGCGGAGAGTTAATAGATGGGATTCGCTTGGAGAATTGCAGGAGGGGAAAATCTAATGGAGATTTTTGCAAAAGGGGATTTGAAGATTTCACACTCTTGGCGAAACTACTGTCTCTTCTTTGCTTCTAACTAAGTTTGTATATATTTTTATTTATCATTTATTTTAGAGTTAAAACAAAAATCTCTTTAAAATAATTAATAATTTATAAATATTGAGAAATATTTTATTGTTATTTTATATTAATAATTGTAATTTACAATTATTATATAGAAAAAACAAGGATATATCTTTATGTAAGTAATTATTTCATGAAAATATAATTAATTTTTTGTAAGTTAAGACAAAATTTGACTCACGCCACAGAAAACAAATCAAAGTGATTTAAAACAATAGAAATGATAAAAATGAGATGTTAGTGGAGAGCTGCAATTGCAAACACAAAACCCAAAAACGATTTGTTAAGTGTCCTTTTTTTTATTTAAGTAAGCCCTTCTAGGTTTGTTTGTACTTATATCATATTTTGACAGAAGAATAATAGAGGTAATTTGCAAACCTTGTTGAATTATTATACAGGGTTTTATTTTATGCTTTAAGATTCGAGATTTTGGAATAAAGAGCTTTTGAAATATATTTATATTATGGTAAAATTTTTCTTTGAAACTCGACTTGGATTTTTAGTCTTATTGCCAAATAAAACATGTGAAGGAGATTAGCAAAATTTATTTCACTGAAAATTTCAAAGTAGATATATTGGGATTTCTGCATTTTCTGTTAACGTTTTCTCAAAACCATATTTATTGGAAGTTTAATTTTTGCAGCGTATTTATCAAATAAAACTATTTTCATTGAAATACGAGGTTTATATTTTTATTAATTTTAATCACTTTTTTGAAAGGATTTTTTATGACTCCTAATTTTCACTGTGATACTGTGATTATGCCTTGTTAATCTTACGAGTTTTGGTGTTGGCATTAATTTATTAAAAATGGTCAGTAAAGATATTTGTAAATAGTTGAGAAAAATTAAAAGTATGAAAGGTTAAAATAGCATAATGAAAAATGCTGTGTTTGCCACATGTGATAAGTTAAGTCTTACTAAGTACTGAATTATCATATTCCTAGTTAACTTCTCAAGGCATGATTTCTAAGAACGTTATGATTTTGAAATGTTTTTGTATATCTAACTCAGTAAACTAGTTCCCATAGATAGAGTCAAACTCATACAGTGGTTGGTTCACAAGGTAGATTTAACTATAGATCCAACTAGAATTGAGTTAAGACACTAGACCGTAATGTGTTTATTTCGTTATTGGATCTCGTCAAACTTAATACGATTTTTGGCTCATACAATGAGCACAATGTCAAATGCAAAAAATGATTTGGAACTCTTATTAGAAATAAAGATGAAGATTCATCTAGTCTAGACTCTAGACGATAGTCCAAGATGTGTACTTATAGATGATCGTTCTTTGGCCGACAATGACACAAATCAACAATTTTTTTATAATCGTTTTCTTTGTCCTTGCAATATTAGTTAAAAGTTGACAATTTTGAAACTTGAAAGATGATTTATGTCAAAAATCTAAGAAGCTTAATTCCAAAAATTATCTCTCAAATGATGAGTGTACTAAATGATATTTACCCATGTTCTTACGCTGATTTAGTTTGTGTGAATTATCTTTTTAAGGGNAACTCTTATTAGAAATAAAGATGAAGATTCATCTAGTCTAGACTCTAGACGATAGTGCAAGATGTGTACTTATAGATGATCGTTCTTTGGCCGACAATGACACAAATCAACAATTTTTTTATAATCGTTTTCTTTGTCCTTGCAATATTAGTTAAAAGTTGACAATTTTGAAACTTGAAAGATGATTTATGTCAAAAATCTAAGAAGCTTAATTCCTAAAATTATTTCTCAAATGATGAGTGTACTAAATGATATTTACCCATGTTCTCACGCTGATTTAGTTTGTGTAAATTATCTTTTTAAAGGGGTATGAATATGTTATAAAATTTACACAATAACATGCATTAATGTGGATGATATCACAAGATGTGCACTTATAGATGATCGCTCGACAACCGATAGAATTCAACAATTTTTTATTAATAATTATAAAAAAAAAAAAAAATTCGTTGTCCTTGCAATAATATTTGAAAGTTGACAACATTATGATTTTTGATTGATTTTCGAAACTTGAAGGATGGTTTATGCCAAAAATAAAAAATGTTAATATCATACTTTATATATATATATATATATGTTGTAAAATTTACACAATAACAACACTAGTTCTCTTTATTGATCATAAAAAGACATCACACAACACACAGCACACAAACACAAAAGCAAATTAAACATCTTCCGACCAAACACTCCTTAAACATCACAAACATTTTGGTTTGAGTTGATGAATAATGAGCACCCACACCAAGTGCAACAATTATTCAATTCAACTCCAGGGCCTGCACGACATTCTAGTCTTTTGTTCCCTTTATTGTTCAACAATACTTAGAATAATTATACATTACTTCCTTGATCTTGATTTCTCAGACTGACATACTTGTGTTGCGGCGGAAGCTTCTGACGACTGGACGCGATGGATCAACCTCGTTGTCTTGAAGCTTAACCAGTGTGTAGATACCGGCACCAGCTAGGGCTCCAAGCGTTGGCGCCACTAGGTATATCCATAATAGATGGTAGTTTCCTGCTGCAACGGCTGGGCCAAGAGTTCGCACAGGATTCATTGAACCACCACTTGATGGCCTGCCATGGTAAATGAATCATTTAAGTATCATAATTTATGAGAAGAAATACAATGTGTTGTTGTACAAAATTGTTTACCTTAAGATATGTTAGCTGGGACCTATTTTAAGGAATGAAATGAGATTTTATTAATTAAACTACCACTACGTTTTATGAACACTAATTTGTATATTCATAAAGCAGCTGGTGTGTTTGATTTGATCTTTTATGGTATATTAATTCTTGAATCTCTTGTAGATAACTTTACTAACTTTAATAGTTTGAATGAAATGACTTATATTTTATGTAATTAAGTTATATTGTATGATATTAAGAAGATATTCAAGATGCATGGTCTTGATTTCTCCATTTTGTATTGGTTATGTAATGTTTTATGCTACTGATCAAGTGGTAAAATGTAAGAAATTTTCCGGATTGATTCAAATATTAAAATACAAGAGATGATTGGTTTGACCTCTATTTGATTGTGACAAAATTAAGGTTTATTTGATCATGGTACCCTATGTCTATATTTTATTAATTATGTCTTACATAGTTAATTAAATGTATGCTTTGATATTGTTTATGATATATATGATATGATCATGCTCTATAACAAGTAAGAAAAAAATTACTAACCCTGCAATCAGAATATTGAGCATTACAGTAGCCCCAACAGCAATTCCTGCCAACTCTCCCACCTGCAATTGCAAATGAGAAAGAAAGAAAATATATATCAGCAATGTCCCGATTTGATCTTTACTTAACAAAAATATAACATTATAATCGACGGTTAAAATAAATTTAAAAATAGGAAACAAATCATAACCATACATTTTTCATTAAAATGAACATTATTGTCATTATATTTGCTAAATAATACGTACCGCTCGAGTATCCGTAGCCACAGCAGTTACGACGAACAAAAGATTGAAAGTGATAATGAACTCGAGAACGAAAGCCTGGCCAGTGCTGACAGAAGGAAGGGTGACTCCACCAGAAAGGTAAGGATGAAACACCCCTTTGAGGGCAAATGAAGCACAAATGGACCCTGAGACTTGAGCCAGAATGTAGCCGGGAACTTGCTTCCATGGGAAGTGACGAAGCGCTGCAAAACTGATGGTGAGCGAGGGATTCAAATGGGCTCCCGAGATGTGTCCCGTCGAGAGGATGATGATCATCACTGCCAGCCCGGCGCAGGCTGCGTTGCCGATTAGGGTTTCGGCGCCATTGTACTTCTGGTTCACTATGGGACCTGCTGTTGCGGCGAAAATTAGGATGAAGGTTCCCACAAATTCAGCTCCTAGCTGCATAATCACATATGAATCTCTTTGTTAGAAATTCGGGTGTGGTCGAATTTTTTTTTTTTTCTTTATTGAGAGAAATTATATATGAATAACGGAGAAAATCTTTAGTTTATGGTAGTATCACCTTAATGGTATTACAACGAATACTTGCATCTAGGATAAATTTAGAAATACAAATTAATGTGATAAATGTAACTTCTAACCCGGCATAAAAGTATGATAGTCAAGCGGATAATGAACAAAACATGATATAGTATGTTACTGAGTAATTGAAAATTTATATATTTAAAAAGTTTGTGCTTTGAACTAACATAAACCCTTCCAGTTTCTACGGGCAGCCAAAGCGAAAGGAGAGACAAATAAAACACCTCTAACTGATATGATGATGAACATCTTCAATAAGTAATCAGTAAGCAGCAGCTAAACTGAGGGCAAATAAGTTAAAGACACCAATTTAGAACAGAAATTGTAATAATGAAATTCTGGATGATAAGTTTCCAATTGCAGTGAGTAAGAAAATTTAGCTACTAAGGACCATGATATGGCCAAAAAGCAGGTGAACCCATATGGAAGTGTCTCACTGATCTACATATTCTTCAATGAGTAAAAACAGTGTCATTCGTCTAGGAGGTCTGTCTGGAATTGTTCCTGGCTTGAATTTTGAAGCCTCATGTTTGCCAATTCAGGAGGCACTGGACTGTTACTCTGGATAAGCATCTGCTTGAGATCATAAAAGACATCAGTATCATGAAAAGTCAAGAAAGTGGTAGCCACACCAGTCTTTCCAGCACGCCTGTTCGTCCAATACGATGAGTGTACATTTCAATGTTCCCAGGCATATCGTAATTGATAACATGAGCCACATCAGGTATATCAATCCCACGCCCTGCAACGTCAGTCGCACAAGGACATTGTATCTCTGTCCTAAAACCTTCAAGGCTAATTTCTCTCTGCTCCTGAGACTTCCCACCATGCAAAGTAGTGACACGATAGCCTGCCTTATCCAGATTCTTGGCAACTGTATCTGCATTCTCTTGGTGTTAAACAAGACAATGCGTCTATCTGAAAGATCATCAACAATCTCTGCAACCTGGAAAATTTCTCTGTTTCCTTCATCATCATCACATGCTGAGATATCAATTCAGTAGCCTTTCCACAGTGCCAATCGTAACCACCACAGGATTCCTCAAGTATTTCCTCGCAAGCCGCTCCACAGCAGGAGGCAAGTAGCACTAACATATAAGTAGTTTATAAATCTTTTTCTCATCAAGCTCCTCATCTCATTCTCTGGTTTCAAATTACTCAAGGCATTGCATCCAACACACCCACAACCGGGGCTCAAAACCCATATCAATCATCCTATCAGCCTCATCAAGTACCACATAGTTACACTGATTCAAAACTGCATATCGCCTCTCCAAACAATCAATCAACGACCTGGCGTCGCAATCACAACCTCACCCCTTGCCTAATCCAAACCCTTGTCCTCAATAGACTGCCCACCAACAACGAAACCACCTTAATCCCCAAATAATGGCAAACTTAACCGTCTCTCCTCAATCTGCTGCGCAAGCTCACGAGTCGGAGCCATCACAACAGCATAAGGCCCCTCAGCCTCATTCTCTTCACTAATAGGTGGTAATCTAGATATATAAGTCAACATAGGCAATACAAAAGCAGCAGTCTTACCAGAACCAGTCTCTGCAATGCCAATACATCCCTTTGCTGCAACCAAGCGGAATCGCTGCCATTTGAATCGGTGAAGTGACTTATACCCAGCTCTCTCCACAGCTTTTAACAACTCAGGAGTCAATTTACTCCAACCCAGTTCCTATTGGCCTAGGAATCTTTGAACCTTTATAGATATATTAAAATCTTCCCTAAAAATTCTCCAATCTCTCTCAGTCATTTCATCAAGCATCTTCTCCGACCAATGTCGATCAACTCTCATATCAAATATCATACACCAGCATTTCTTCCTTCGCCTCTGCGCCGCCGCCTCCTCCGCCTCTCCTCAACCCCCTCCTTCTTCCTAATCTCATCTCCATCTCCTTCTCGTTCTTCGCCGCCAACTTCTTCTGCTCTCTCCGATCCATCCCCGCTCGAAACCCTCGCCCAAACAAAAGCTGAGCTTCGTGAGGTTTTGATACAAATATTCTATCCCTTGAAGTCTCTCAGTATTCTCCCAATCAAACGAAAACCTAAACTTCTCACTCGGCTTTATATAACTCTCTTCTTAGGCTTCTTCGATCCCAAATACTGCTGCTTAATCGCCTCCAATCCTTCTCCCTTTCACGCTCATTCGTCTTCTCCTTCTCGCACGCTCCCTCGCTTTCGCCTCTTCTTCACGCTCGCGATCACGCTCCCCCGTTCCCGTTCCCGTCCCGTTCCCGCTCCCGATCGCGCCGGTGACGGTCCCGGTCGCGAGAATCGCGGGAATCGGAGGTGGGTCTGGTGAGTTTTGTGCCTGAGCAAGAAGCTGTTCTTGGCGGCGTTTTTGTTGGGCAATCTCTTCTTGACGGCGTTTGAGGGCGAGTTCTTCGCGCTGGGCTTTGGTCAAGAGACGGTTTGGCGGCAGTGGGGGCGGCTGTAGAGGCGTCGTCGAAGGGGCGTTTCATGGCGGAGAGTTAATAGATGGATTCGCTTGGAGAATTGCAGGAGGGAAAATCTAATGGAGATTTTTGCAAAAGGGGATTTGAAGATTCACACTCTTGGCGAAACTACTGTCTCTTCTTTGCTTCTAACTAATTTTGTATATTTTTATTATCATTTATTTTAGAGTTAAAACAAAATCTCTTTAAAATAATAATAATTTATAAATATTGAGAAATATTTTTATGTTATTTATCATTATATATTGTTAATTTGAAACATATTATTAATAGAAAAACAAGGTATTATCTATAGTAAGTAATTATTTCATGAAATATAATTAATTTTTTGTAAGTTAAGACAAAATTTGACTCACGCCACAAAAACAAATCAAGTGATTTAAAACAATAGAAATGATAAAGATGAGATGTTAGTGGAGAGCTGCAATTGCAAACACAAAAACCCAAAAACGATTTGTTAAGTGGCCTTTTTTTTATTTTAAGTAAGCCTTCTAGGTTTTGTTTTGTACTTATATCATATTTTGACAGGAAGATAATAAGGTAATTTGCAAACCTTTTGTTGAATTATTACAGGGTTTTATTTTATGCTTTAAGATTCTGATTTTGGAATAAAGAGCTTTTGAAATATTTTATATTATGGTAAAAAATTTTCTTTGAACTCGACTTGTTTTGAGTCTTATTGCCAAAAAAAACATGTGAAGGAGATTAGCCAAATTTATGTCACGAAAATTTCAAAGTGAATTTTCCAGTAGATATATTGGGTTTTCTGCATTTTCTGTTAACGTTTTCTCAAAACCATATTTATTGGAAGTTTAATTTTTGTAGCGTATTTATCAAATAAAACTATTTTCATTGAAATACGAGGTTTATATTTTATTAATTTTAATGACTTTTTTCAAAGGATTTTTTAACTCCTAATTTTTACTGTGATACTATGATTATGCCTTGTTAATCTTACGAGTTTTGGTGTGGCATTAATTTATTAAAAATGGTCAGTCAAGATATTTGTAAATAGTTGAGAAAATTAAAAGTATGAAAGTTAAAATAGCATATGAAAATGTTGTGTTTGCCACATGTGATAAGTAGTCTTACTAAGTAATAACTGATTATCACAAGGCATGATTTTTAAGAACGTTGTGATTTTGAAATGTTTTTATATATCTAACTCGATAAACTAATTCTCATAGATAGAGTCAACTCATATAGTGGTCGGTTCACAAGGATTTAATATATCCAATTAGAATTGAGCTAAGAACTAGGCCGAATGTGTTTATTTCGTTATAGGTCTCGTCAAATTCAATACGATTTTGGCTCATACAATGAGCACAATATCAAGTGCAGAAATGATTAGAACTCTTATGAAATAAAGATGAAGATTCATCTAGTCAGACTCTAGACGATAGTGCAAGATGTGTACTTATGATGATCGTGTAAAGGTGTTGCTTATAGTGAGGCTTGGGGACAATGACACAATCAACAATTTTGTTTTTAATACGTATAAACCCTTCCAGTATATATGGTTCTGGGAATGATGATTGGGGCAGCCGGAGTAGGGACACACACAGCTTTTAAGCAACTAGAACACTGTCCAAATGTTAGTGCCAGCAAGAAGAAGAGGACCTCCATACTGTAGGTGGAAGATCCTGACTTTATCATCAATTCAGCTCACAGATATACCAACAAGTCGGTCCTGAGGAGGGTGTATCGCAACCTGAAACAGAAACGGAGTACTCTTTCCATATCCTACCCGCACAATCCCTTTTACCAGGTTTGTAACTTTCTCAAACTACTCTATTAACTCTTCTATCACAAGTTTCACAAGAAAATACTAATGGACATATACATTCTTGGGAGCTGCAGCCCTTACAATGAAGATACACTACAGGCGCCAAAGTGAATCCAAGCCACCTCTGAGAAGTAAAATCAATGAAGAGATCTGTCAAATATGAAATATTAGGTTTCTCAAGTTCCATCATATCCTCCACTTGTTTCACTTCTACTGTCTGTTTAGCTTTTGTGATGATAATTTAACACTGTTATTAGATGAGAGCCCTTAGTCAAGAGAGTCCTGAGTTTAGGCTCCTAATCCTACTGTTATTGGTAATTTATACTCCTAATAAAACAGGGACCACTTTATTTGTGTTATTGGGCAAACTACATAGCATTATTTATGTTAATTCACAACATTTTGGGCTTCTTTGATATGTTGCAAGACTAAAACCAAAACAACTTCTTGCTTCTGAACCCAGTTCAATCAAGTGACAAAAGTGAATTGATAGGTACATAGCAAAAACAAAACTTAAATAAATGCACAGCATCTTATAGGGATTTTTTTTTTTTTTTTAAATCTGAATAGACATGGAACCTCAATGCTTATAGTAGTTTCAATGCCAAGAAAGCGTTACTATATG